GGGGGGCCGGGGGCGGGGGCGGGCACGGCAGCCGGGCCCGGGCCGCTGCGGCGGGAGGCTGGGCCGGGCAGCGCTTGGGGGAGCCGGGCCGCGGAGTCTGGATCTCGGGGAGCGAGCATCGTGCGGCGAGGCCTGGGAGGAGGTAGCGGAGGGCTTGGGGAGCGGGGGGAGGGCTGGGCCCTGGAGAGGAGGCGGCCCTGGGGACGGGGGGTCTGGCTGCACTCGCCCCCTGGGCAGGAGTTAGCCAGGCCTGTTTGCTTGGGGGTCCCTGGCTTAGCGGTAAGAGCCCGCCTGTGCCGCAGGACCCGGCCAGCTGGGGAGTGGCCCTGTGGCCCAGGTCGGGAGCACCTTCCTGGCCGCGTACTGGCCCTGCCAGTAAGGGGGCGGCAGTACCAGGCCGTGCCGTGCCTTGGGGTGGCCCGTGGGCTCTTGTCTTAATCACGGGGATGCAAGGAGTTGATGCCGGGTTTCCTTTGTAGAGGCTTGTGTTGCGCTGGCATCCTGCGTTTTTTTTGCAGATAAGCAAGCCGAGAAGCATCTGTTATATTTAATACCGTGTACGACCTAGTTTTTGAACAGTGCTGATACTGCATAATTGGGTCTTAAAGTCCAAAACGATTCACCTGGGAAAGGTGTCATACTGATGAAATGTCTGGATGGTGGATTTTAAATCTTTCTGTGCCTGTTGATAAAGCCAAGTTTAAATAAGTGTGTCAAACTTCCTAATTTGTCATAATCGTTATGAATCCTCTTGAGCACACCTGAGTATGTGATTTGATCTGCTTTTTAGCCTAAGAATGCTTTTCAAGGTTTAATGTAACTTTCTGTCAGTCTTAGATCTTTTAGGTCTAGAATTAGGCTTAAAAAAGTGCACTGCTCGGTATTTCTGTGCTGAAAAGCTGGTGTACATAACTGCCTCTCCTCTTGCCTGCAGGCACCATGGTGCGCATGAATGTTCTAGCCGATGCTCTCAAAAGCATCAACAATGCAGAGAAACGTGGGAAACGCCAAGTTCTCATTAGGCCGTGCTCCAAAGTAATCGTCCGGTTTTTAACTGTGATGATGAAGCACGGTAAGTCTGGAGTGCACAGCGCTGACTTTTTTCTCATTCGTGGTTTCTGTGGATGCTGTTGTGTTAAGGTGCTTTTTGACTTAAAGTAAATCAAGATGCTGGAGCGAGTTTTGTACGTCATAGTTAATTGAGTTGTATTAATGGAGCTAAGTATGATATATTTGATTTGCCTGTTTGCTGATCTTTTGTAGGTTACATTGGTGAATTTGAGATAATTGATGATCACAGAGCTGGGAAGATTGTTGTCAATCTCACAGGCAGACTCAACAAGGTAGGATTTGTCTTCCTGAATTTAGTTCTCTAGGGGGCGTGTTTAAATGAGACTTTTTAGTTTAACGTTTGTCCGCTCAAGTTCTGAAAGAATTACTTGTAAAGAAGGTGGTATGTATTGAATCCACGTAAATGAGAGCAATATGGGTATTATCAGTGGTTACCAAATGCTTGTTAATTTTTCTGGATTCATAATGTTATCGCTGACTAATTATATGTCTTTTAAACTCTGAATACGGAAGACATTTTGAGGGAAGTCTGCTTGCAAGTGCTGTGTGTTTCTCTCTTTTTAAAAAGCTTTCTGGCTACCTAGTGATTTCTCAGTTTCTTTGATGTTCAAGCTATGTAGAAGACTTTTCTTAAGAGATGGGAAGTGAGTTGCTTTCCAGTTGACATTTAATACCTGTAAATGTTGAGAAGACAAGCTTTTCTCCTGCTGCTAGATGGGCTTTGCTTGCAGTTGAGGGAAAGTTGAATGTTATGTTAATTAGTGTTTTTTAAGTTCCTGGGGCATATGAAGTATTCATGTCAGTTTTGGAAATTTTTTAAGTGCTATTGTCTGAAAATGTTGAGCTGTGTAGTTCTGTGATGACTTGCTGTGCATCATTGTTGTCAATTAAGTTATTCAAGAGAGAGGTGGCTTTTTGGTAAATAAAAAAATTACTTGGTCAAAATATGTTGAGGGCTATCTCCACGATGAACAAACATAGCAGCTGAAAACTGCTTGAGTGTACTAGGCAGAGAATTCTGACGCTGCCCAAATTACTGGTATTATGTGTCTGTAACAAAAATAATGTGTGCTAGGTTTGAGTGTAGTGTTCCTTAAACTCTTCTGGGATGATTTCGTAACAGATCTTCCTAGGTGCAGCTGGATAGAATCTTTCAATAGTTGCAATAAGGGAACAACTGTTTGGTTCAGAAAAATGTCCCATCAGTGCAGGAAGGTGGGCTTCTGTTTTCCTCTTGGATGTTTATTAAGATAATTGGAGCCAGTGAGGTACGCAGAGGTGGTAGGAGTGGTCATGGTCAGTAAATATGATTAACTTGAAAACTTCGATGACTTTTATGCATGTTAATTTCTCCCTGTGTAAAATCTACAGGTATTTTTTGCTAACTATGTATGATGATTAGAATATCCCTGAGTAATTGTAGGATTTTTGATGATATAGGATGCTTAATAGTCTTTAGTGGTTTATAGTATGCTTTTGTGCTCTCCCAGGCCTAGCTGTTAATTTGTTAGTTTAGCTTCAGCAGCAGTGTAAGTGACCTGTTGAAGCAAGGAGGAGGAGGAGGCAAGGCTAAGGAAGTAGCAGCTGAATAGCTGTGTGAGAGTCTCAGCTTCCCTGAGAGGAAGCGCCGTTTCATATTACAGGTAACGGAGCGTGCTTCTTGGTGCTCTGATCTTTTGCTGCCAAAAAGATTTTAATTGCAGTTGTTAAATTCCTTCATCCAGTGAACTGGAACGACAAATGTGCAAATCCAGTTTATAAAGTTCTTCAGTTTGTAATGGAATTCTGTTTTATAGTGCGGTGTAATCAGTCCCAGATTTGATGTTCAGCTGAAGGATTTGGAAAAGTGGCAGAACAACCTACTGCCTTCACGTCAGTTTGGGTGAGTATGGAGAAGAGTTAAATCTGGGTTGTATGTAAAAACGTGGGGGTTTTTATTATGCTTTCATACTGCCCGAGTTAGACTCGCCTGACGCCTTTCCTCTCTCATCAGTCTGGAGGTAGATACCAGTCTAAAAATCCATCTTCCGTATAAATGCTCTTCTTAACCAGTTTTAAAGGGGCACTGCTAAGCAAGGACCTGTTTTTGCTTGGCTTTGGTAAATCCTGGTTTCACTGTTTCCTTTTTACCAGGAAACTAGGACTTTTCTCTTGCTCGTTTTAATTTTATTAATGGCCATTTATAGATGGGGGAGGAGTCATGTAAGTTACCAGGTCAGTGGAGGTAGGTCACACTACTTTAGTTTAAACTTCCTGATTGTATGTAAATCGATTAGATAATAAGTGATGAGAGACTCAGAGCCTCTGTTAAGCAAGCCTCCACAGCAGAGAAAATCTTACTATTATGCAATATATTTTTCCTTCCCAAAATTCACCGAGTCAAGAGTAATAAATCTCAGTGCACCAGGATGACAGAGCTGGAAGAGTCTTCAGGGGCTCAGCCAGTCTGTCCCGTCAAAGGGAGGATTAACAGCTCCTTGTCATTTTCTGTTCTTAAAGCTCCAGCGATAAGCCGCTTGCTTTCGCTGTACCTATGTAGCTTACTGGTATGTGCTGTCATACTGAGATTTTTAAGAGTATTTCCAGAGTGGTGGGACAAGAGGTTCTCAGGCGTGAAGCTGTGTGGATGAAGTACACTGGTGATCCAGAGGCTGGCATCAGCCATGACTCAGGCTGCCTCAGTTGTCGGTCCAGATCCAGATCTTCATCTGCACCAGCGCACAGCGTGCAAAATGCTGAGAGACAAAGCGCTCGGAGCCGAGGAGCTGTCTGGCACCATGGCAACTCTACCTGCTCTGAAGAAAAATGTCTGCTTAAAATAGAAGCAGACTTTGTCTAGAAGGTGTAGAGTTGCTCCTGCTACCACAGCTGAACTGACTTTGCAGTGGGAATGCTCAAGAAAACTTCTTGCTGAGACTTATGCAAATATTTGGAGAACAGAAGCCTGTGTATGTCCTTTGTGTGCTGCAGAGTTGTACTTGCGAGAGGGGTCTCTTTTTCATGGTCTGATAACCTGATCTTGCTTCCGTTAGGCCCATTCTTACAGAAACAGATCTTACTATTGTAATACAGAAGTGAAGTTAGTGCTGTCAACTCTGCATGAGCATAGAGCAAAACTTGGGATAAACTGAACGTTTGTTCTTTCTTAACAGGTACATTGTACTGACAACCTCAGCTGGCATCATGGACCATGAGGAGGCTAGGCGAAAACACACAGGAGGCAAAATCCTGGGATTCTTTTTCTAAAACTTGTAAAAAAAGAGGATACTAATAAATTGTTCAAATGGACTCTGGTGTTTCCACTCAGTATTTTAATGACTTCGAACGCTACCTGTGATAGTGCTTGTAACAGACAGCTCTTCAATAGTGCTTACGTTCCAACTTTAATTCAAATGACGTTCGGGTTCCACACCATCCCTGGTCACAACTGTTACTTCTGTTAATGATCTAACATACTTCTAATAGTTACTGCTTGAATGAAAGTTACAGGTCGCTATGCAGAATAGCCTCAGCAGGGGAACTCTAACGTTGAACTACACACTCAGCTGTCACGCAGTGGGATTGCCTCTTAGGTGTTAGATACGTGTGTCTCCGTAGTTAACATATGTGTGACTCTATAGTTTGACTTTTTGGGTAAATAATCGACGATGCCTTGCTAGAAGGTATTTCCTGTTTACGGTTTAGAAAGTTATGAGATGTGGGATCGTGGAATAATTAAGATGGTTGAAGTTTGATTTCAGATCACAAACTTGTTCTGCATCTTGCATTGTAAGGAGTAACTGAGGTAGAGGTGTGAATAACTTTTTTTTTTTTTCCTTCAAATTTCTACTCTGAAAGTCCTTTGGGACATCAGAGTTTTGGGTAGGGTAGTTGCTGTGCAGCTGCTTTGCGTGTTGCTGTGAAGATCTAACTGTTTGGGATTTCTTTAAGTTTTTGGAGTGAGGAAATAAGGATATCTGAACTTACAGGTAGTGAATATGAGTATGGAATGAGTTGTTGGTCTTTGTTTCAGGCATCTGATGCATGACGGCATAATGTACTTGATACAGAAAAATCAACGAATTTCTTTCAAAGCAGGAGCTTTGCAGGTGACTGCAGCTGAGGAGCTACTTGCAGATGGTAGGGAATGGGAAGCAAGCTTCTGGGCTGATTGCGTTGTCCTTTCACGGCAGTTGGAAATGCCTTATTTCGCTTTGTTTGGAGTCTTTGTTAGGAAGGAGCCTATGAAATGTAGCAAGCCTGTTCCAACATGCTCTAAAGAAGCTGTAGAATTTATGGTTCTCCTGATACAGGCGGTTGGAAACATTTTTCCTTCTTGGTGGTATGTCCCGATGCTTGATATCTACAGTGAGGTAGAAGGATGGTGCCTTGAAGGTAACACTTCATCACAGAGCTTTTCAGAGAGTCTTGGGGTGGAAGTGACCGTCTTCAGGCACAAAGTCTTAAAACTCTGTAGTTTATAACTATGTAACCTGTTTTGGTCCGTCTGTTACTTGTTATGGAGAAAAGGAGAAGGGGATACTTAACCGCTAAGCAAACAGGTCTTGGGTAGGCGGGCAGCACAGTCTCGGCTGATGTGGTGGCTATTCTCTGGGGAGCAAGCAGCCAGCGACAGAGCTGTGAAGGAGTGCGTACAGTAAGCGTGCTGGTGGCGTACCCTAGTGTCCCGTAACAGAGACTTGCACCTTGACTGAGAAGAGCAGGGGAATAATAATAAAGGCTCGTTTACCTGTTTTGTCTCAGTCACGTGCTGGTTACAGTCACAAAGTATGGATTGCAGATTGCATCAGAACATTCAAATGTGATCAGTACGGTTCTCAGTTTGATTTGAAACAAATTTGCTTAGCTGAAGCTAAAGATCTGTACACTGAATTACAAAGAGTAGTTATGAAGTCAAAAGAAGTCTGTCTTGACCCCTTTTTTATTGTCAAATTAAGCTATTTTGTTACAGGTTTTTTTTTTCCTATCCTTAATGGAGATAATTCTGCAGTACTAAGCATCGATAGATGCGCGAGCTTTTTTATTTCTTGCTCAGGGTAACCCTGAAGATCATCTCAACATTCCACTGTTCCTTTTTATAAAATCTTGATTTTTATCAGTCCAGAATAGAACATACTTTTCTGATACCTGATGGAGGAAGGTCAGTGATACTTTAAGTCTTCCTTTAGATGGATTTACCATGGCTTCAAGTTCCCTGCTAGTTCGACATTCATATTTTAAACCAATTTTATACAGGACGTGCACATCAGTTTTTCTGAACCAGTTTACCTGTGTATGACTTCGGAAGTAAGCGAATTTCTGATATTCTCAGTTGAGGGACCAGTTGGGAATAGACTGTTAATTTATTTCACAAGCCAGCCCAACGACTTCTGTAGAACTATTAAATGGAAATTAGAGCTCCAATGTAAAAAGAATGAGTTGGAGGGAAGCATGCAGGAGCAGGCGCGCCTTTTTCATGGTATATCTAACAAATGCAACTGCGCACTGGCTTACCACACGTGGAAGCTGATGTGGCTGTTCCGAGTTCGTAAGATGATCTCTGAGCTTGCACCTCGCTGACAGAGCTTTACTCCTGGGCAATCGCTGCTGGCTGAGCTGCAGTGGGGCTCGGGAGCTGACAGGCGGGATTGTGACATGCCCTGCAACACAACTGCTTTAAATGGGTTTGCTGAAATTCTCAGGCATGTTTAAACGCTGAAAGTGGTATTTTAAGCCTCAGTGATGTTCTGTGAGCTGAGGGCACGTGCCTTGGGAAAGCAGTTTGTAGGTAAAAGTTAACTATCGTTTTGGGTAATAAAAGGATTCACAGGGAGAGCGGAGAGGGAAAATGGCCCAAAGGTGGAAGTGCAGCACGGGTTGCGCCTGGCAGTCAAGGCACAGTGTTAGTTTAGAGAAGGTGCCTGGTACCTGTGGAGCAGAGGGTGACGTTCATGACGGAGGAGTCCCTGGTGGGACAGAGGCAGTTGGCCTTCATGTGGGGGAAACCGGGAGGGTGGGTGACACCTGCGAAAAGCATCTGCGCTGTGAACCCCAAATTACCAAGCTTTACCTCCGGCGCTGTCCCCTGTACCGTGCAGTCTAACGCTGAACAAGTCTGGGAGTGATGGTGTCACCTCCGTACCCTTCTAGCTGTAGAGAGAAGTCTGGGCCTTCTGGCTGGAGGTCTGCTACTTGCTAAGCTGAATCTGAACACGTAGGTCTGTGTGAGCGTGGCCGCTTGCCAGCTGTTGTGCTGCGGAGAGGCTAGGCGTATTACGGAATGGAGCGTGTATGGTGGTGCTGCACTGCCTGCAGTCCCCTCTTACCTGCTCAGCTGAGCACAAGAAGGTGAGCATCAGAAGTCCTGGTCACAGGTGGTAAAATGGGGTCAGAACTTAAATTGAGCTGTGGAAATTACTGATTAAGCCAGCAGTAGCTGGGAGAGGGTAGGTGACCCATCTGCGGGGTACAGCCTGGTCTCACTTCTGCTGTCAGATACACGATAGGTATTTCCAGATGCCGCTGGCCACTGCTCCTTATGTCACTGTTTAAGAACAGGATAAAACACATTCAAACCGTGTGCCATGCATTAGGAGAAATCCCTATTTATTGTTGCAGTGGGAAGTTGTCAACAGATGGCAGCATCCGACTGTGAGGCTCTGGAGACTGAGGGCCATCTGCGTGAGGGGAGTCCCAGGCGGGCTTTGGCGTTGCTGCTGGTCTCCCTGCTCCTTCTGTAGCACTAAATACCCTGACTTCTGCTATACTCTGGCCCACAAAGACAATTTTTTCTGTCTTTGATGCAATAGATCCTGATTTAAGATAATACGGCAGGTGAGAATAAGTCTGGATCTTCAAAATACGGCAACAGGGTAGAAAGCCTGGTGCATGACAGTGGCTTCACTGGAGATGCGCATTCTCCTCCTCCTCTCGTTGTTTTTCTGCCACAGGTAATTCAGTCAGCTCCGTTCCCCTGAATGGAGCGTGTGTTTTGTTTCTCAAACTCGTCTGCCAGTTACTTGCACCAGAAATGTAAGCGGTAATTAAACCTTGATGCCCAATGTCTGAACAGCTGCCTTAGTGGCTCTTTCATGCCTACTGGAGTCTCGATGAAAGCTGGCACCGACAGACAAGGATGTGTGTGGCGGTGCAGCGGAAAGCAGGGAGAGAAAATGGGCTGAAGTGGTGAGCGAGGCTTTAGAACTTGCCCCAGCGGCTTTGGCGCCGAGCAGCTCTTTCACAGCAGTGAAAGCATGAGAAGTCGCTCGTGGCGGGCGTGGGGGCCCTGCCTGCAGGGTGCAGGGACGGGGAGCACGGTGATGAGCCTGCCAAGACGTGCAGGTGAGGCTGATGGTAGAGGATAGGAGACATCATGTATTTTTAAAGGATCTGGGACTGCCAAAGCTATTATTTTAGGGTATTTAATTAAAATTACATGCTCTCAAATGACAAGATTTTTTTGTGTTTTGTTTAATGCTACTTAGCTAATTTAGATTTAAGACACGACTATCTGCTGTTCGGTGTCTTACTGCCAATTAATGCAAGTACCAGGCTGTCAGTAAATATCTGGATGGACTTAACCACAGTTTAGCCCAGAGGACTGTTCTGGTAGGGTCAGGGAGTTTCAGAAGCTGGTGGCCTCTGCTCTCGCTCATGCCTCTGGTGCTTTCTCTGCTCAAGTGCTGCCATTTTACTCATGCAGTTCTATTTTAAAAGAGAATTATCTATTTTTCTCTTAATTCTCCTGCTGTTCGCCATCTCCTTGGTCTGGTACATTGTATTTTGACTACCAGCTCATGACCTGAATTAATTTGGTTTTGTTTACAAATATTTTTACAAAGAGAGAAGTGCTGACATAGCAAGTGAAAAGAATAACTGGGTAAACTTTATTGCTTGATACGCAAAGGTGCATCTTCTGCTGGGGAAAAAAAAATAAATTCCATTGACCTTCTCCTGCTCTTCTCAGACAAAGCGAATGAGGATGTCTGAAGGCATAAATCTTTCCACTTAGTTTTAAGTTAATCCAATCTGGTTTATTGCATGAGATATGTAAGAATAATCTCATAAAAGCACTAGAAACAGAGGAGAACATGTACAAAGAAATATTGTAGTTCTGGTGAAGGTAATGAGAGTTTTGACCTTTGCTAGGACCACTCCTAATGGAATCGGGTAGTCCTGGTACCCACCATTACCTAGTGGCTACCCATGGTTTCGAAAGCTGCCCTGGCATTCTTGATCCGGCTGCGCTGGGTTTAGCAGCCACCAAGCGATTCCTACTCAGGTGTGTATCTATATCTATTTATATAGGG